ACACAGCTCCCTCTTCTCTCCTCCTCCTCCTCCTTTTTCTTCTTTTTCCTCTTCTTCCTCGTCATCTGCAAAGAGAAAAGGAAAAACAAACAAACAAAAAAAAACATTGCACGATATCGCTTTGGGCAGTCGAGCCACTCTAGCCAAAATAAATTCGAGCTACAAAACGGAACTGTTATAACTTAGTGCTATTGATATCATTGTTTAATTTTGTTAGCTTATTCTTGTTTTTTAAATTTCCCTGAATATTCGTTCGAATCCTCTGTTATTGTTTGTTGTTAATTCTTTGTCAATATGCCTTGTTATTAATTGATTACTCTTTGATGAATATAAAATTGATATTAAGGAATTTAGCACTGAATATTTTATGAATGTACTCTTGCATTATGTTTTATTTTATACATACTACATTACTAAAAATTATTTTACAAACATATCATCGCCGTTCTCGCATCCTACTTTTTTTAAGTTTTGCCATATCAACGTATCCGTATCCATATCTCGTATCCGTATCTACGCTTCCTAGCATGGGACCTTATGCAATTAGTTTTAATGTCAATATGAGACTAAATTTTAAGGGCAAGTTTGGGAAGTTAATAAAATAGCCAAAAAGCCAAAAAAAATACCAAAAAAGCTAAATAGCCAAAGAACTATACAAAAAAGTCAAAAGGATTCCCTTGCCTCTCTATTTTTTGCACGTTTTTTTCTTAAAAAGCCAAAAAATATCATAGACATAACAATTTTTTTCACCACATATTTTAGTCAAAAAGGCAAAAAAGTTATTAAAATAGCCTTTTCCCAAACCAACCCTAAGTTTTATACAAGTTAATATGCTGCCAGAAAAATTTATTTATGTTTTATCATAATTGAGTAATGAAGAGTAGCATGGTAATTTTAAGATTTGTTGTAAACTATGAAGCACAAATACTCCAAAATAGGTCATATACAAGTATCAGATACGGATAGGCGTCCGATACGCGATATGTATTGGATACGGCAAAAAAATATCCCAACTTTTTATTTTTTGTGAATTTCGGATACGCATAGATACGTGGGAGATACATTCTGAATACTTATGGGATACATGGGGCAAAAAACGTAATTTTCATAACTTTTTTGTGGGTCAAACCATGAATAAAGACGCAAAATTGAAAATAAAACAAATCACATCCTTCAAATACACATACACATGAACCAAAATCAAAAAACATAGAGAAGAAGAGAAAAATCACATCCTTCAAATACACATACACATGAACCAAAATCAAAAAACATAGAGAAGAAGAGAAATCCTAACCTCAAATCCACAAATCAAAGAAGCGGTGAAGCAAAAATCTCTGGTTTCTTCTACTCAATCGACCACAGCGACAACAAGAACAGGTTTCTCTCTCTCTCATTTTCTCTCTGTCTCTCTCGCTGCTCTCTCTGTCTCTCGTTCTCCTCTCTCTCTCTTGCTCTCGTTTTTTGTCTGTCCCTCTCACTCTTCTCTCTCACGCTTCTTGATTTTTTTTTTTCCCCTTATTTATTACGTTGCTGATGCTACTTTTTTTACTTTTTCCCCTTATCTATTAGGTTGTCGGTTTATCAAATTTAAGTTTTTTTTTAGTTGCCTATGCTCTGTCTGAATGTTTCATTGCAAGTTCCATCATAAATTTTCATTATTTCATTTTATATTATTAATTTTTCTATTAAAAGCTAGGTTGTCTGATATGATGAAAAATTCTCTAAAGGTAGAAGCCATTAAATTTAAATAATTTAATTTAATTTGCTTTTGGTGTTGACATGTAAGGATGAATGTTTAATTTACTTTACTTTTAGTTTTGGATATTTTATGAATGTTTGAAAACTCTTCGCTTAATAGGAATCCCTCTATTTATCTATTTATTAATTTATCTTAGGTTTTACTTTCATGCATATTACATTATTAAAATTTAAAAAAAAAAAATTACAAACGTACATCCGTCATAGCCGTATCCTACTTTTTTAGATTTGACGTATCGCCATATCGTATCATACCCATACCTGTATCCGTGCTTCCTTGGCTACAAATGCACTATAGTTTGGGTCGTAGGTCATACTATGGGCCAAGTTTATGTCTTTCGATCTCACGTGTGGTCTATACAAGATTTAGGGTAGTTTGGAGCTCAAAGAAACAAAGTTATCTATTTGGTAGTCTTGGTCGCAGTAGAATTAGAACAAATCCAATAGCTCATAAATATGTATGTAATCAGTCTATTCACAAGAGTTGAAACTATATATATATATATTTTTTTTTTTTTTTTTCAAGCAGAAACTACATAATTTGGCTTCATGTTAATCCTTTCTCTACGTATTGGCCTGCAATTTAACAGCAAAAATCTTAATTAAGTGGTTCTTTTGGTGCTTCCAGCATTAAAATTTCTGAAAGCCATTAACCATTCACTTCAAAACAAAGTGAATTCCCACCTATCTTTAATCTCTAAAACCTGCAAGCTTCCGTCAACTAATTTAGGTCCTAAACCTGCAAACTTTCAAAATTGAAACCTAATTGTAGACCGCTATATTACAAGTTTCCAAAAGTCATTCCACATCATTGTGTCATCCAACTTCCTAACACCATGGCTCCACCCACAACCATCAGTATCCCTATTTTTAGTTCCAATTGCCCCAAAAACTTAGCAAGGCATAAAGCCCAAATAATTTCAGTTTGCATTAGCATTTCTTTTATAGGTCATGCTAGTGACTTTAGACTGTCAAGGGGGAGGAAAATGCCTTGCAAAAGTCAGAATCTCAAGGTATTTTTACACATCCCAAAGCACTTTCACTTATTATATACCCTTTGCATACATTTCAATACATTTTATAATGTTCACCAAGGCTTAACATTTTCCTTCTTTTATTTTCATACTTTAGGTGATTGCTGGATTGACTTCTTGCTTCAATTATTGTCGGTCTTTGAACAATGTGCAAAAATACTGATGATTATTTTGTACCTAAGTTCAGCCCTGCATGCACTATACCAAAGGGAAAAGTGTCAGATCTAGGTTGAAATGACACATTTGAAATGACACTTTCTACCATGCCCTAAGGACGTTCGACAATTTGCAAAATTCTCACTATTGCACACCATTTAAATAAAGAGCAACGCTAGAGACCCACAAATTCACCACAATGATGTGGTAAGAGAGTTGAGTCTTTTATCATTGGGTGTGTAACAAATCAAAAGTTGACATCTATCATACCACATCATTGTAGGTCAAATCGTGGGAGATTTTTGTGGGTCTCAAACATTCTCCTTAAATAAATAATAAGGAAAATCAACATGAAAGCATAAAAGCCCAAAGCAGAGATGATTACAAAAAATTAAGGAGTGTCATTTAGAAGCCAAAAAAAGAACATGAACGCAACTTAGTTATCCCAATTGATACAAGACAATAAACAAGAAGATTACCAATTAAAAATTTTACCTTGTAAGTTTAATTGATTGATATCCTTACTAATATCAACCCTCCACATTCCTTCGTGAAGGGTCAACTAGTAATTAGGAAAAAATAAACCATGTTGACAAGCTTCAAGCAAACATCCATGCTTTAATATCATTGTGCCACAAAATATTCAAACTTACCTGAAGCTCCGCATAAACAACCATCTGCATCAGCCTTCACGACATTTGAAGTATCAATATCACCACTCCCAGTGCTTAAAGGAAAAAAAATTCCTCTAGTTAGAGCTATTTCAAACAAAAATATTGATTAGCATGTTTCTTGAAATTATCCAAAAAAGGGTACCAATCAATGACATCTAGAATTTTTGGCTTCCCATCTGAGGTAACTTGCAATCCAGCAGCTGCGGGGTCCACACCAGAATCTGGAAAAATAGGCGTTTTTAACACATAGATATAATACAAAAAATAGATCAATAAACCAGTTGAGCAGTATAGCCCACTTTGATTCACTTTACAAATTGATTTCAAAGCTTTTAGCATTAGCAAAACAATATAGAAGCTCATCCCATTCATATATCTAGGGGCATAAAAACAGATGAGCTCAAATTACAGCAATGATCTTTGACTTCAGCATCCAAAGAAAAAACATAGACATTCACACACGTGCACACACACCAAACATATCAAACATTTTGGGATAATGCTGTACAAATAAAATTTACACAAAAACTACATACAGAATGATGCAGCCTATTCATATTTATTCATTGGAAATCAAAAAGCTCATCACCGTGATTCATAATTGCAAAAATGTCATTGCCAGAATGACCAAAAAATATATGTACGTTTATTATTTAGACATATTTTTTGGGGGAATATATCAAATCATAACTTCAACTTTATGATTTGAAGCTAGGACAGCCTGAGCTGAGAGGGAAACCAGAATAACATAAGTGACATGAGTTTTAATCTGTGAACTGAGTCTGAGAGGGAAAGAAAATAATCTTGAATGCATAAAATTGAATAACTTGTTCAAATTTTTTGGTACACAAATCAGAGCAACGAAAATGGACGAAATAAATTCAGTCAAAACACTCGAAGATAAAAAATCGAAACTATTAAACGTTTCTATTTCAGTTTTTTCTCGGGAAACAAACACTGATCAGAGCAGAAAGCTGAGAATTGAAAGGCCGTACCAAAGATAGCAATGACAACACCACGGCCATCGAAGTCCGGGTGAGCTTCGATGAACCGATCGGCCTTAATCTCTTTCTTCGGCATGAGAGAAGCTAGGAAGGTGGACTCGTTTAGCTTGAAATTACACAAAGCCCCATTGTCTTCAGTAGAATTCACAGATGAAGAACAAGGCATTGCCCTAACCCTGCTACACTTTCTCTCTCCAAAGTTTCTCTCTCTATTATTGCTGCTGCTGCGGCTACTTCGCAGTAGCTTTTGGGGATCAAGGATTAGGGCAGGAGAGAGAAACGGCGGAGGAAATGATTGTCTTGCCCAACACGCCCAAAGGACTTGTTGGCATTTCTTAAATTCCGCTTTAGGGGCGTTTCGATAACTTCGGCTACGTGGTAATAAGCCAAAATAATAAAGGAATTCCCAAACTAAGCCTAGTTTTGAAAGAATTCCCAAAATGAGCTAACTCGCGGTTCACAATCGCGAGTTCAACAGTTTTCCACCCATTTGAAGTATCAATATCACCACTCCCAGTGCTTAAAGGAAAAAAAATTCCTCTAGTTAGAGCTATTTCAAACAAAAATATTGATTAGCATGTTTCTTGAAATTATCCAAAAAAAGGTACCAATCAATGACATCTAGAATTTTTGGCTTCCCATCTGAGGTAACTTGCAATCCAGCAGCTGCGGGGTCCACACCAGAATCTGGAAAAATAGGCGTTTTTACCACATAGATATAATACAAAAAATAGATCAATAAACCAGTTGAGCAGTATAGCCCACTTTGATTCACTTTACAAATTGATTTCAAAGCTTTTAGCATTAGCAATATAATATAGAAGCTCATCCCATTCATATATCTAGTAGCATAAAAACAGATGAGCTCAAATTACAGCAATGATCTTTGACTTCAGCATCCAAAGAAAAAACATAGACATTCACACACGCGCACACACACCAAACATATCAAACATTTTGGGATAATGCTGTACAAATAAAATTTACACAAAAACTACATACAGAATGATGCAGCCTATTTATATTTATTCATTGGAAATCAAAAAGCTCATCACCATGATTCATAATTGCAAAAATGTCATTGCCAGAATGACCAAAATATATATGTACGTTTATTATTTAAACATATTTTTTGGGGGAATATATCAAATCATAACTTCAACTTTATGATTTGAAGCTAGGACACCCTGAGCTGAGAGGGAAAACAGAATAACATAAGTGACATAAGTTTTAATCTGTGAACTGACCCTATGTTTGGATTGAGTGATTTGGAGAGAAAAGAAAAGAAATGGAGAGAAATGTATTTCTCTTACTCGTTTGGATAATCTAAATCGAGAGAAATGCAAAGAAATTGAGAGAAATAAAAAGAAACTCATTTCTCTTATGAGGCTCATTTTCAATCTTCCCAAAAGTGGAGAGATTGGGAGAGAAAATAAATCATTATTTTCATAATACCAATTTTATCCCTATAAAAATAAAAAAAAATAAAATGATTGAAAATATAAAAAGGTTATTTTGGTAATATAACATAAAATAATTTCTTTTCTTTTCTTTTCTCATCTAACCAAACAAGAATGAGAGAAATCACAATCATTCCTTTTCTTTTATTTTATTTCTTTCTTATCCAAACAAAAAATGAGAGAAATCACAATTATTTCATTTATTTTCTTTTCCCTTATCTCCTAAGTTTCCAAACATAGTGTGAGTCTGAGAGGGAAAGAAAATAATCTTGAATGCATAAAATTGAATAACTTGTTCAAATTTTTTGGTACACAAATCAGAGCAACGAAAATGGACGAAATAAATTCAGTCAAAACACTCGAAGATAAAAAATCGAAACTATTGAACGTTTCTATTTCAGTTTTTTCTCGGGAAACAAACACTGATCAGAGCAGAAAGCTGAGAATTGAAAGGCCGTACCAAAGATAGCAATGACAACACCACGGCCATCGAAGTCCGGGTGAGCTTCGATGAACCGATCGGCCTTAATCTCTTTCTTCGGCGTGAGAGAAGCTAGGAAGGTGGACTCGTTTAGCTTGAAATTACACAAAGCCCCATTGTCTTCAGTAGAATTCACAGATGAAGAACAAGGCATTGCCCTAACCCTGCTACACTTTCTCTCTCCAAAGTTTCTCTCTCTGTTGTTGCTGCCGCCGCTGCTGCTTTGCAGTAGCTTTTGGGGATCAAGGGTTAGGGCAGGAGAGAGAAACGGCGGAGGAAATGATTGTCTTGCCCAACACGCCCAAAGGACTTGTTGGCATTTCTTAAATTCCGCTTTAGGAGCGTTTCGATAACTTCGGCTACGTGGTGGCGGTGGATTCCGGCGGTGAAGCCGGCCCAGTGGCCAGGATTTAAGGCCTATTTTTAGTAATTAAAATCATATATTTTATAGTTAAAAAATTAAAAAAATATTATAAATCATTACATTTTTTTTAAATCTTTTCTTAAAAAATTAAAAAATTATTAAAAAAAATTATTCTCGAATGAGATTAAAGAAAAAAAACATCCCTTATTCAGTTAATGGCATAAATTGTTGTTTGGTACAATTTTTAAGAGATCATTATAATTTATTTTAATTTAGAAACTTATATCAAATTGTTTGATATAACTTTTATTTATAATTTGTTAATTAAAAATAATTTTCAAAAATTAATTATTCAAAATCTTAAAAAAAATCCACCAAATAAGCCTAAGTAAGTGGGTTTACAATGGGATTTGGGTGGTTGTCTTTAGGATTGGGGTAGCCTTTAATTATTGAATATGTCATATTTGTTTTTTGAATGCACCGAATATGTCCATGCAGTGTAATTTCCACGCTTGTGTAATGAGATTCCTTGGAATTTGGACTATGGACCTACATGGGTGTCGTAGTGGGCTTTAGATTGGACTGGTGCATGATGATCCAAGAAAATTTCTCACGATGACACTGGTTTGGGAATTGTTTATTTTAAGAAAAATTAGTCTAAAATCTATTTCCCACTTTTAATAATGGAAAAGATCCACAATATTATTTTATGATATCTAACATCCTTCAGCACCAAACCCATATATCACAAACAAATTTTAGAAGAAACGAAAAGGCTTCAAAACTATCTTCAAAAACTAAGTTTGGTCTTTCTCTTCTCACTCTCTGCTTCCTCTCTCTCTCTCTCTCTCTCTCTCCTACATCAATGGCAACTGGGTTGGTATCAAACGGCCAGTCAACCGATCAATCATCTACTGATCGATCATTGATGAAATTACAACACACTCACTGAATCTCATCGACGATGGACAGCTTGAAACGATGCTTTTTCTCTTTCTCGGGTATCCCAAATTCTGCTTCAAACTATTGAAGCTCTATTTAAACAAGTATTTATCCGATGAAGACAACAACGGTGAGTCTAAATGGGGTTCTTTGTTTAAGAAAAGCACACAAAAGATAACAATAGAATATTTGTCCGATGATGTGATCCGAGAGGCTGCCAAAAAGACAGAAGGCTTCTCAGGTCGAGAGATAGCGAAACGAATGGCCAGTGTTCAAGCAGCCGTGTATGGACGCCCGAACTGTGTATTGGATTTCGAGCTATTCAAGGAAATAGTTGACTACAAGGTTGTAGAGCGTTAACAGCTAATAAAATTGGCATCAGAAGGCGGTCAATCAGCATAGCTGGGGAATGAGTTTGTCAGTTTTTTACTTGCAAGATAGAGGTCTTTCTGTTGGGTCCCCAATTTTGTTTTTTGTCACTACATTTTGTGTATTTGAAGTTTCATCATGAAAAAACTTGATTCTATTTATATTTGTGATTCCTTTGAAGAGGAACTGAATCATATGCCTTCATCAAACCAGAGAATTTCTCTGGACCAACTTAGAGAAAATTCAGTTCAAACCAGAGAATTTCTCTGGACCAACCCAGAGAAAATTTAGACCAATCTAGAGAAAATTCAGTTCAAACCAGAGAATTTATCTAGACCAACCCAGAGAAAATTCAGTTCAAACCAAAGAAAATTCAATCTAAACCAAAGAATTTCTCTGGACCATGTGAACAAACCCATGGTGGTAACATTGCAAATTCAAACAGGTGAATAAATTAATTTGGAAAGCAATGCCCATGGCAATCTTGTGGATTTTATGGAAAACAATGAATGAGCTGGTTTTGTTAAAATAAGCATCTGGTGTGGTGCGAGATGAAGAAATTAGTTAGAAGTTCTTATGTTTGCATTTTGGATAAAATCAAAGGCACTGATTTTAACATTTAAGAATGGGTACTCTGTTATGGATTTCTATGCATTCACTTTGTCATGTCTGATTACAAGATTCATCAACTTCTACATTGTTGATGTGTGTTCATTCAAAGTGCAAATAAAGGCAAATGGTGTGTCATTTTGAGGGCTGCTGATATTGTGATTTTTTTTTTTTTATGTTAGTCCATAGATCCAGAGAAATTTGAATGTTCAAAGTCTTGAACCTAGAGAAATTCTTTGAAAGCCCAGAATTTCTCTGAATAGAATTCTCTAGGAAAAAATTCTCTGGGCTGGAATTTCTCTGAACTGAAATTTTTCTAGTTTAATGTTGAGGGACCTTAGACATTATGAAAATATTAAATGTCCTTTATACTATAAAATTTTAATATCAGGGACCCTAAAAAAAAATCCCTTTATTTTATTTGACTTTTTATGTAAAAATATATAAATAAAAAAATATTATAATAAATTTTAAATTATTTTAGTCTATTAGTAGGTGCAGATGATTTTTTTTTTTTTTTGGGTGAATAAGACATAAAAAAAAAGACAGAGAACTACACAGCTACAAGGGGCATACCCCAGGACCTAACAGACAACTATACAAATGAATGGAGGACAAAAAAACCGCCACCTAAAAGGAATCAAAGCGGGCTGCCAAAATTAAAATAAAGAAAATCAATACATAGAAGGAAACCCCTAAAGATATGTGCATAAGCCGCATACATACGAATGAGGCCCATGAACACATCCAACCGAGAGCCCAAAACTGAAGCGAAAAATAGTCCATACAGACGACACAACCAAAAGCAACACTGTACTGATAACCTGGCACATCCCGCACGGGTAGGCAAAAAGAACAACCATCGCATCTATACCGCCTAACATCCAAACACAGAAATTCAAAACAGAAAAATAACTTAATGAAAGACAAGTGTCCACAAAGGCGCTACAAGCAGCCATCAACACAGAACAGTACCATCTGCCACGCAATCTGCCACACGTTTATATGTTTCTGTGTTGTGCGACTTACATTTTATTATTTGTTTAAAATATTAAAATCATTCCATTTACATTTTCTTTCCAATAATATTTTCACCGTGCCTTCAAGCATGGGCATACTCTAGTTAATTTACAAATTAAGAGAAAAACGATTAATTATAAGCAAAACATAAAATAATTCTTATATTAATCACAAATTTTATCAATTAAATATATAAATTTACACTTATACCAAACACAAATAAAAATTAAACAAATTAATAAAACAATTATTTGATATATTGTTAAAAATAAGTATTAATTCATTTTATTTTGCGTTTACGAGTCTAATCAAGTCGAGTTTTTGTCTACTCAAACTCAATTCATTACTAAAATGAGAAGCTTATGTTAAACTCAAATCGTTAAAATAGAATTACACAGCAAATTCTCTTTCTTAGACGCTAACCATGATCAGTTTTAGTTAAATGTGACCATTTAAACTACTGAAACAATTAGTTGCTTATGCCAATTAGTGCCCAGAACAAAAGAGATAATGATGGAGAAAGATGGGAAGAGTTAGAGAGAAACTTTTTCCTTGAGAGCTAGAAGAAAAAGTTAGAGAAAATAAAGAGAAATGGGAAAAAAGCCAAAGAGAATTCAAATTCATCCATTTAAACTTGAGAATTAAACACTTTGGTGATTTAAAAAAAAAAAACCTTAAATGAGATGTTTAAGTTAAAACTAATATCGTTAAGCTACAATTACTCAATAAATTCTCTTTCTTAGAGGCTAAACAAGATTAGTTTGAGTTAAACTTGGCCAATTAAGCTAATGAAACAATTAGTTGCCTAAGCTAATTAGTTCCTAGAACAAAAGAGAGAAGGATGGAGAAGCACAGAGAGAGCTAGAGATAAACTTTCTTCTTGACAGGTAGAAGATAAAGTTATAGAAAAAAAAAAGAAAAGGAAGACAATCAAAGGGAATTCAAATTCACCATTTTAGACTTGAGAATTGAACACTTTGGTGATTCAGAAAACCTTAAATGAGGTGTTTAAGTTAAAATAATATCGTTAAACTACAATTACTCAATAAATTCTCTTTCTTAGAGGCTAAACAAAACTAGTTTGAGTTAAACTTGGCCACTTAAGCTAATGAAACAATTAGTTGGCTAGGCTAATTAGTTCCTAAAAACAAAATGGAGAAGGATGGAGAAGAATAGAGAGAGTCAGAGAGAAACTTTCTTCTTGAGAGCTAGAAGCGAAAGTTAGAGGAAAAAAAGAGAATAGGAAGAAAATCAAAGGAAATTCAAATTCATCCTTTTAGACTGGAGAATTGAACACTTAAGTGATTTAAAAAACCTTAAATGAGGTGCTGAAGTTAAACTAATATCGTTAAACTACAATTACTCAGTAAATTCTCTTTTTTAAAGGTTAAGCAAGACTAGTTTGAGGCCACTTAAGCTAATAAAACAATTAGTTGCCTAAGCTAATTAGTCCTTAGAACAAAAGGGATAATGATGGAGAAGGACAGAGAGACTTAGAGACAAACTTTCTTCACGAGAGCTAGAAGAGAAAGTTAGAGAAAATAAAGAGAAAAAGGAAGAAAATCAAAGGGAATTCAAATTCATCCTTTTGGACTTGAGAATTGAACACTTAGGTAATTTAGAAAATCTTAAATGAGGTGCTTAAGTTAAACTTATATCGTTAACTACAATTACTCAGTAAGTTCTCTTTCTTAGAGGCTAAGGAAGATTAGTTTTAGTTAAACTTGGCAACTTAAACTAATGAAACAATTAGTTGCCTAAGCCTATTAGTTCCTAGAACTAAAGAGACAATGATGGAGAAGAACAGAGAGAGATTGGGTGAAAGTTTCTTCTTAGAATAGAAAGTTGGAGAAACGAAAGAGAAATGGGAAGAAAATCAAAGAGAATTCAAATTCATCATTTTGGACTTGAGAATTGAACGCTTTGGTGATTTAGAAAACCTTAAATGAGGTACATAAGTTAAAATAATATCATTAAGCTACAATTACTCGGTAAATTATGTTTTTTAGAGGCTAAGCAAGATTAGTTTAAGATAAACTTTGCCACTTAAGTTAATTAAACAAATAGTTACCTAAGTTAATTAGTTACTAGAACAAA